TAGTATTTGTGATCTGCCCAGACTATATACTAGTGTAGGAATTTATTATATAGCAATTCAGTTGTATTTATATTTTTAAAAAATATACAATATTGATTTTTGAGCATTAATTTGCTTGACATAATCTGAAATAGATGCAGCTTACACAAACTTCTTTACGTGATGTGTCTTAAATCGATTTCTTGGCAGTATTTTATGTCCAATATGCAGCATGTGCAACAAAACTAATTTATTATAAGGTTACACTCAAAAACCAGTTAAGCACTCTCTTTGAAGTTTCCGGCTTAACTAGAAAGGAAATAAGGAAAATTCTTCCCGGATCATTTGCACTTTTTGGTTTTTGCTCAAATTAGGGAAATGTTAGCATATTGCAGCCTTTGATAGAGATAAAATCTTACCTTATTTTTGATATTTTAAACACAATCTTATACGAGAAATTTTTCAGTGTTGCCGTTATCAAAGAATTTATTAAGAATTATGTACCAAAAAATATTAAATGTTTAAATAATGATGTTGCAGATGGAGGCAGTAAGGTAACAGGTCACTAACTTAATTTATTGTGATGATAATTTCTGTTTACTGAATATTCTTTAACAGGGCAGAATTCATATTTTAGAAGCTCTGGCAGCTTCTGGATTGCGATCCATCAGATATGCTAAAGAGATTCCGGGAGTCAGTACCGTGACAGCAAATGATAGATCCGAAACTGCGGTGGAAGATATTAAACAAAATATTAAACTGAATGAAGTGGATCATACTGTCATACCAAATTGTGAAGATGCTGTGTAAGTGTATAAGATACTTTCATTTGAATGTATGTTTTGAGAATTGATTGGCATGAAAACAAATATTGTGTTACCAAGTTTTGAACACGTAGATGTTAAATTAATCAAAGCACATTTAACAGTGGGTAAAGTTTAAAGAACCTTAAAATTTTTGGTTAAGTGATGCAACCAAACTCTACTACCTCTTACAGACTGATAAAGATCCCACAGATGGAGCAGTGGAATGTTATATCCCAGCCATAAACAAAGAGACTGGCATCAACACAACATATGTCAGATAAGCCGCAAGATTGATGGCTCGTTGAATGTAAAGATGATATTAAAGGAGGAAAGCCTGTTACATTCTTCCTTTGCACACCTTCCTTGTACAGAGGTAGATTGACAGTTGGCCAAGATCATAAAGAACCATCTCTCACCACTCCATATCAAGATAGGATGCATTTAAACACAAGGAGAACAACTCCCTTCTTCCTGTCTGGTGATATCTACTTAATCTCTTGTATCAATCACTGCCATCTTCCCCAACTGTTGTTTGTGTTCAATCTTCCTTACTGACACTGTTGTTCCACTTTCACCCATCCATGCCCAAAGATGCTTCTTAACCCTGTCAAAAACAATTTTATTCTTTAAACTTCACCACCGTTAAAGGTGCATTGATTAATTTGGCAGACAACTTTCCTTTTGGAAGAGTAGTTAAAGTTTTTTTTTTTTTGTTTTGTTTCTTTCTGACATAGGCTATTGATGTATAAGCATAGAAGTTTCCAAAATCAGTTTCATGTAGTCGATTTGGATCCTTATGGGAGTCCTTCGTCTTTTCTTGATGCTGCTGTGCAGTGCATTTCTGACAAAGGTGAGATGGAAGAATGAATTTTCATATCGTAATGGACGAGCAAAACATTTAACAACAGTTTTTAGGTCTGCTGTTGGTGACTTGTACGGATACAGCAAATTTGTGTGGACGCTTCAGAAGAAAGTGTCATGCCATTTACGGATCGCTCTCACTTCGAATGTCGAGCTGCCACGAGATGGTAAGATGAGCAATTGTAATTTTTATCAAAATATCACATGCATAAATATGCACATTGTATTTACCAGGCACTAAGAATAATTCTTCGGAGTATCGAACTTCATGCCAATCGCTATGGTCGTCACATAATGCCACTTGTCTCCGTGCATGCAGATTTCTACATTAGGGTATTCGTAAAAGTCTGCAAGAGCCCTAACAATGCAAATAAAAGCATAGAGTAAGAAATAATGCATAATTGTTTAATAAAAGTTGGTTTGATATTATAAGTTTTACAAATTGTTTTTTACAAACAGAAAATTGGCAATGGTTTATAATTGCACTGGTTGTGGAACCTTTCATTTGCAACATTTGTCAGAGACCATGGATGGAGAGTGAGTAATTTTTTTTTAATCGTTGGCATACTTAAGACAATTAATAAAGAATGTTTACCAAAGGGAAATTCCTGTGTTGCCGCAACCACCTCCAGCATTGTGTGAGCATTGTGGATGCAAGTTTCAGGTAATATTTCCATTAAATTCAAATGTATTTTGTGAGTAAGTTTGCTTAAAAGTGAAACAAATTCAGTTGGCGGGACCAATTTGGACAGATAATCTCCACGATAAAGATTTTGTTGGTGAACTTTTGAAGACCGTGAAAAGTGAAAAGAATAATTACGGCACAACCGAAAGAATGATAGGCATTCTTTCAGTCATTTCCGAGGCAAGTAGAATTTCACTCTGAAACATCACTCTGGACCCATCCTCTTACTAGCTTTTGTTACAGGAACTAGATAATTGTCCTCTGTATTATCGTTTACCACATTTGCTATCTGTCATTGCCTCCTCTCAGCCAAGTCTCTTCACATTCAGGTAACACATTCAGTCATTCTAACCGTCAAAAAATTTATTCGATTTATAGATGCATTTTCTCAGGTCTGCATTACTAAATGCCGGCTACCGAGCTTCTCTATCTCACACCTGTAGAGATTCACTAAAGACGGATGCCCCGAGCGAGGTCATCTGGGACGTGGTGAGAAGTTGGGTAAGTGATAGTTTGGTAATTTTAATATTTTCTATTATTAAAATCCACTAAAATTTTAGGCAAAACTAAACCCAGTTAAGAGAGATATAACTGGTACTCCAGGAGAAGCCATACTCAAGAAAAACATTAAGTAACAAAACAAACTTGTTTTAATTGTTCTCATTGTTAGCCTCTTCTATAAACTTGTCAATTTTAGTACACCGATAAATTTTGATCCTCATCCGGAAGCGGAGCCGTTGTCTAGATCTCTGAAACTTGTGAGATTTCAGCATAATCCCAAACCTCACTGGGGACCAAAAACCAAAATTAAACAAAGTAAAGTTTGATGTTTATTATTTACATCTTATCTCAAAGCAAAATATTTGACAATTTTTAATTACAAAGTGTTTTTTTTTTTTAGGGAAAAAAGACAAAAGTTGAATATCGTAGAACATGAGTCAGTCATTAAGAATAATGGTACGAAAAACAGTGAAAGTAAATTCAAATTGATCAAATTTTATTGTCATTTGCAGATATTAAGAACAAAACTATGTTACAGATTTCCCAGTAAGTGCTTCTGTAGCAAGGATATGTTGTGGCATTTAACGAGTCGCAAAATGCAGAGATTCCACTGACGTCACCTCTTTTTAAACCCATACTTTTTCCGCTCATAAAACAGATCGGTCTTCGAGCTTCCTAGGTTGACTATCTTCGGACAGCCGTCTCTCTGCAATTAAAAGTAAAATAGTTAAAACAGAGCACAGACAATAATCAAATGTCCTTATTACGAGTATCATCATTCTTAATTTATTTACATTTGTAATTTAGCAAGTATGCTTGTCCTAAGGAAATAAAATAAATTTAATGTACGAAATTTATGATGCATTCTATTTACATGAAACTACTTTGAATTTTTAATGCTATTTAAAATGGAAGAAGAGACAGAAGTAGCCATGCCAGACACAATAAAAACTGATAATTGGTTACGGCATGAGTTACACCACCTTAAAATAAACTGCAACCTTTTTTCACTTGCCAGTGCATATAAAAACCTAATATTACTAAAAATGAGTGTATACTAGCATTAGATCTAAATGAAACAAAAACCCAAAACTCTCATTATTTAAAAGCAAGGCAAGTGCCAAACAGAAATATATGGCAGAGTTCCATACAATGCGAAGGATACGTTCTGCGTTACAGAAAATCACATTATCAAGACATGTATTATCAGACTATTTTACTCAAGTTTAAACTTAGGCATAGAAGTTGAAGAAGAAACTGTATACCTGTGGACAACAAAACAAAGTTTGTGCGAGTACTAGTTGCAATTCTTTCACTGCATTACTGGGGAGCACATTATACAGGAGTTCACCATAATTGAAAAGCATCATATAGATTGAGTAAACTGATGTAAAATCAAGGAAACTATAAATGAAAATGGATTTATGCTATAAAATTATATCTAACTAGTCATAGCACCTAGTGTTGTCCTAAGAAATGTAATAAAAATGCCATAATTTCATTTTAGTAGAAAATAGCATGTAATTAACACTACAAGCACATGGTCTGTGTAACGTAAACAAAGCCTACAACCATTAACCAAACTTAAGTCTAAACGAATAAAACCAAAGTGGTCTATATCAACCCCTAGGGGTCGACTCTGAACTGCAAGGGGTCCATGTCAGCAAAAACAAACATTGGGGATGCACGAGATGTAAATGGGGATTCACGAGAATGGATCCCACTTAATCAGGTCGTGACCAAAATTTTGGCTTTCCATAAATCGAATAATTCACATAACACAGATATTAAGTTGTTATGTAGTTACATAATACTTTCTTATAATAGACATATAAATTACCTATGAAGTAAAAATTTTTAAAACATAAATGATTATGAAGCATGAAGATTTGGAGCTAGATTTGGAAAACTATGACTCCATGCTTTAATCATGGGAAAATTCCGAGACTGATGATGAGATCTTTTTCCGACGACAGGTCAAACCAACAACTTAATTGCTTTGAATTTTAATTAATGCTAATTGTTAGAATATTCTCTTGACTTCAATCAACCTATTTCATTTTACTTATAAAATTATTATTATGTTTTTGTTATTGAAATTTAAGTTATTATTTTCTTATACATACNCTGTTTTGAGTTAAGAAATATACAATAAGTGAAAAATTTTTATTAATTAAGTACTATTAAGAATATTTTTTCTTCCTCCATAATGAGAGAAAATATTTTCAGTTGTAAGTCCAAAGCATTTTTCTTGGGAAGGGTTCTTAGTTTGGCAGCTAGAAGACTGCCAAATTCATCGAACACATCCTTCTTTGGTTCAATGACTCAGAGCCTGAAAAAATATTTAAAAAACAATCTTAAATGAAAAGGAAAATCAAGTTTTCAGTCTTATATTATTTATTTAATAGTCTTCTTTGTATTTGTGTAATATTTATAGTATCAGTTTCTAAAGTGAACACTTACTCAAAATTATTGAGTTTTTCAGTTGTTCACTCTGAGGTGTAAACTTTAATAAATAAATTATACATTTTGAATAATTTACATTCATTGTAGATTCATTAAAATTTTCTTTGTCCTTCTCTGCCATCTTTTTTCTTTTTTGGTGGCTGTGGACTATCAAATGTGCATGGTGATAACGAAATGCTTTCATTAAACATTTCATCATTATGTACAGTACATCGATATTTACATTGATAATTCTATCTGTTTCTGCCTCAGACATGCAGCCAGAAGTAGACGGTTATGTATCATTTAACTATAAATAAAAATAGGCTATATTTAATTAGTTTTTATCTACTTCAATATATAAAATACATAGGCTGTATTTTTCAAGCTCCGATATTCCATAAAAAAAAGACAAGTGTAAATAACAAAATGAATTTATTACCAAAAGTTAGGTACAAACAATTTTTTGACATTATCACTGTGAAGATTGAGGCATTTGTCATATCTGTGGACAAGCTTTTCCATCCCCTTGTCATAGAATGTTGCCGCCAATGACTTGAGATGGCCCTAACTTTTTTTTGAAGATCATCATTAGTCTCGAACCTCTGCCCTCCTAGTCACTTTTCCTGTTCAGGAAAGAAGTGGAAGTCGCTTGGCGCTAAATCAGGTACTATACGCTGGGTTTAAAGGTGGTGAAGACCTCCACCTTTCAGACTTCCATCCAGCTTAAAACTTTTTTTAATGTGTGAAGACTTCCACCTCTTTCCTAAACTGAAAACATGGCTAGCAGGGCAGATGTTTGAGACTAACGACAATCTTCAAAACAACATTGTTAAGGCCATCTCAATTCACTGGCAGCAACATTCTATGACAAGGGGATGGAAAAGCTCATCCACTGATATGACAAATTTCTCAATCTTCATGGTGATTATGTTGAAAAGTAACCATGTTTGTACCTAACTTTTGATAATAAATTCATTTTGTTATTTATACTTGCCTTTGTTTTATGGACCATCATAGCTTGAAAAAACCCCCTTGTATATATAACATATAATTACATCGTGTGACGATAATGGTGACATCATTTTCTTATAAGAATTTAAAAGAAAACTGAGGGACGACTAATGTTCCCACGTTGGTTTATATATTTCATTCTCGCCGCATCCACTGTGCTTGCTGTCATCTACTTTTTTTTATTTGAAGAAACATTGTTCTTAGATGAAAGAACTTTTTACTTAGTTCTTTAACTATATTTAAAACAATATTGTTGTTACCAAACTAAAAACAATCAACATTTTATATTCAGATATCTAAAAATGGTACTTACAATCAATGCTGAGATTTTCACTTATCTCACACCATGCCTGCACTCTTTTGTCTTTTCTTCGAAAAAACAAAGAATTAAAGTCCCACAGGCATTCGTGAGACTGAATTAGCTTGATTAATCTGGATTCTGCAAACTTATCCATCATCTTGTTTTCTGCACACGATAATGAACTATTTTTGATGTTGCCACCATAAGACATGCACAAAAATGTTTTCTGATTGGATGCATGTTTGCAATCAGTGCAAGTAGAACCAACTTTTTGTTTCTAGTTGCGGTTGTATCGCGCCTGTTTTCAAAGGGGTTTACTAGTTAATGAGGACAGCCATTGCGATTGCAGTCACCTGCACGGCTGGAAATCGCATGGTGTGACCATGGCTTAAGGGTTACTTTTTGGGTCCATTATCTAACTTGAATTCTGTGCAAGTTGAATTTGTAAATTACTTAAATGTAATTTCATAAGAAACCGCAATGTTATACAAAATATTATAAGGAAACTATTTTTTCATAACCCATAATAAGAGAATCATTATGTGGCAGTATTTATTCTGATATAAGTTATAAAAGTACGAAAAAAAAATATAAACATAAAACAAAACGTTCATATAAAAAATGTCCATGTACAAATACAGCTGCACTGAACCACAGAAGTATTCACATGCACTAGTGCCAAGAAAAAATTCAGAGAATTAATAACCCTAGTAATTAATTCTCTGAATTTTTATTATCTTTTTTGATTTACATACATTTATGTAACTGCAAATTTACTTAAGTCAAACAATTGCTGGATTATTTCGGGCCACATTAACGTTAATCTTAAAGATCGGGTTATTCAATGTTTATGTTTGTATTTATGTAAGTCATAGGTAGTGTTACAACCCATCCAGTTTTCACCCGTACAGTCTGGGAATTGACTAACTGTCTGGGTGAACTATTAATTTTGTCCGGGAATTTCGTAGAAATTGTGAAATTACCATGAAACAAAGTTCTTGCAAATATTTTTACAAATTTACACTATTTTAACAGCAAAAGAACTCACACTCATTGAAACTCATCTGCAATTCTACCATGTTTGTCTGTTTACATGTGGCACACAGCCTGTAGACCGTTTTTTTTTTATCTTTCATATACAATCATACAGGTCTACAGGTAAGTTATCTAGCACATTATTCTTCACATTGTAAAATGACATTGCGCATACATCAAGAACTTCTGTTCGAACAAAGCTGACCTGCCATCCGGATCAGCAATTTTGAAAAAGTGGCAACACTAGTCACAGCTTACATAACTCCGGACATCATTTTACTTCGATTTCTCAATAAAATAATTGACTTACGTATTGGCATAGATTTACTTTTTTGATCATCTTCAGTGACCATCAACAGGTTACAACTTAATCAAACAATTTAAAACATGGTACACATATTCATCAGGAATGATACCACAAGAAGCCCATTACGACTGCCATACCACAAATTCTTCCCCACACTATAATGGCAGATAAAGTTTATAAAATACATACACACATCAAAGAAGTGTTCACATTGACAGATAGGCTAAATGTCATGTGCTTTTTTAAAAGAAGTGTAACCATCAATGATAACACATCATCACAACTAATCAAGTATTAGTAGAAGACAGAAACTTATAAACCAACAGTTCCAGAAAATAGGTATGCTTCCCACACATTTCTGATAACATTAGCACTCGGGAGAGTGTACCGCAGCAGCCATCATCACACACCAACGACCAGTTTGACCCTAGACGTAACAATGCAATGGGAAGTGTCCCAGGAGACAAGAATGAACCAATATTTGTGCGGCTTCGATGCTAACATGTCCAGTCCGTCTTCACTGTACTCCACATGGACAAATATATTTCATTATCCCTAAATTCATTTCTATGTATA